CAATGTAGTCTCCTCACTCATACCACCCACAGGTCTTTCCGCACGTGAATTCCATCATCTTAGACTAACTCAAATATCGCAGATAAGTAACGACCTGGAGATAATAGAGGACTGGGGTAACAAAAACCTTGTACAGTTCAACGCGCAGAAAACCCAAGCAGCTCTATTTTCAAAAAAAAACAGCACCGGTGAGCCAAACATCATGCTATCTGGAAGTGCTGTCACATTACAGAGTCAGTTGAACATCTTGGGGGTTACTGCAGAGACCAACATGTCTTGGCACAGTCACGTGGCAGATATTGCTAAAAGGGCCTCCCAAAAGCTGGGGGTGCTATTTCGTACAAGACATCTGTACACACCAAGCCAATTGCTGACACTCTACAAAGCCCAGATTCGACCAACTATGGAGTACTGCTCACATATATGGAGTGCAGCACCCAAACATACCTTAATGCTTTTGAATACCGTGCAAAAACGAGCTATCAAGCTGATCAATGACCCCGCACTTACTCGTAACTTGGATGGTCTCGAACATCGCAGATCTGTGGGCGATTTATCTCTCTTCTACAGGTACTATCACGGAAAATGCTCTAAAGAGTTGGCACGTATGATTCCACCGAGAGTAGCACATACCAGGCGAACCCGTCAAACAGACGGTAACCATGAATTTACTGTCAAACTAGAGGCACCAAGAACCTCATTATATCAGAATTCATATCTCTGGAGAACAGCATCGCTGTGGAATAAACTCCCTGCGACGGTTTTCCCTGCAGGTTACAACCTGAACCGTTTCAAGACCAACATACACCGACATTTCCGCGCACTTGCCGCTTCTCGAGCGTGATAGGACATTTCCTTGCGAGTGCGCATATCCGTAAAAAAAAAAAAAAAAGGAAGGAATTGGAACGCTTACAAAATCTCAAAATAATCGAACCTGTGGAAGTCTCTACTGATTGGCCGAGTGGGTCAGTTCAATCGTGAAAAAAAATCGAAAATACATACGCCTCTATGTAAATTATACACATTTAAATAAGGCAGTTTTACGTTCGCACCATCCCATAGGTAAGGTGAAAACTATTCTATCACAGGTCCAGGGCTCCAATTTTTATCTAAATTTTACACTAATCCGGGTTTCTATCAAAATTAAACTTGATAAAGAACCTCTATTTTTGACCACTTTCGTTACACCATTTGGGCGATTTTATTTCAAAAGGTGCCCTTGAGCTCCAGAATATTTTTCCATGCTACTCAACAAAACATGAATTTGCTAAAAGGGAGTAGTAAGTCATATTGATGACATATTAGTTCATGCTCCTACCCTCGAAGAACATAATAATATTCTGTTTGAGGTCCTCAAGCATATAGAACAGGAAGGAATTACTTTAAATAAAGAAAAATGTGTTTTTGCTACTCAATCTCTTACGTTTTTGGCCACACTATTTCTAATACAGGGATTTCTGTTGATCCAGATAGAAAAAAATCAATAGTTCAATTCCCTGAGCCAAAAAACAAAAAAGGGATTTTACGATACCTAGGAATGATAAATTTTTCAAGTCGTTTCATACCTTACCGTTCTCACCTACTTGAGCCACTAACTTCTCTTCTAAAAAAAATGTTCAGTTTAGTTGGGGAATTTCTCAAAAACAGGTCTTCGAATGTTCAAAAGCAATACTATTAAAGTGCCCTACTTTGGCCTACTTTGACCCCACAAGACAAATTTCTATCCAAGCAGATAGTTCATCCTACGGACTGGGTGCTTGTTTACTTCAGTCTTCGAATGATGGAAATACTGAGATAGTCGCATATGCATCTCGTTTACTTTCAAGCACTGAGAGGAGGTATGCTCAAATCGAGCATGAAGCTCTGGCTTTAACCTGGTCAGCTGAAAAATTTTCTGAGTAGGTATGTCTCTGGGATCCCCATTTTAGTGCAAACCGACCATAAACCCCTGATACAAATTCTACAGACAAAACCCATTGATGAACTAACCCCAAGACTACAGCGTTTTAGAATCCGCTTGATGGAATATGAATGTTTTATAATGGTCGTTTGGCGGAAAATGGCCAAGATATTGTGGACTTGTTTAAACAATATTTTGAGACAGTTTACACTCCTAGCAATCTTGATTTGGAGGGGATAGTTTCTGAAACGTCTGACGTGAGTTCCGAGTGCTTCAATTTTTTTCATGTTTCCATAGAAGATATTTTTAATAAGATATGTAATCTCCCAAATAAAAATACAAAAGGTCCGGATGGAATACCTAATATAATCCTAAAAAAGTCTATATGTTTATTAGTCAAGCCATTGCATGTCCTGTTCAAGAGATCCTTAGATTCTTGTTTCTACCCGGACAAATGGAAACACAGTTTTATTGTACCTATATATAAGAGTGGAGAAATAAACAATGTCACCAACTACAGAAGTGTGTGTATACAGTCATCCATAGCAAAGCTATTTGACAGTTTAATGGGAGATCAGCTTAAGTGGATTAGTCGAAGTCTGATAAATAGTAATCAGCATGGTTTTTGTTCTGGCCGGTCTACCACAACCAACTTGCTTCTATATCAAAATAAAATAATCTCTGCTTTAGAAAATTTCAATCAGGTTGATGCGATTTATACAGATTTTTCTAAAGCTTTTGATCGGGTAGACCACCAGATACTCTTAAAGAAGTTTTTCAATATGGGCTTTGGTATCAAATCAGTTAAGTGGGCTAGTAGTTTTCTGTCGGGTCACCTGCAGATGGTCAAAATTGGTTCTTTTCAATCAGATACTATTAATGTCACCTCAGGAGTTCCCCAAGGGGGCCACTGTTCTCCTTTGCTTTTTGATCTTTTTGTTAACAGCATATTTGAGTGTTTTGAGAACAGTGACGGGCTGGCATTTGCAGATGATTTTAAAGCATATAGAATCATAAATTGTATGGATGATCAACGGCTTTTGCAGGACGATCTTGACAGGCTGACGGGCTGGTGCACAGACAACAAGCTTTATCTGAATGTCAACAAATGTTGTTTTATTAGTTTTTTCAAAGGCAAGAAAAAATTTGACACTTCCTATACATTAAATGGCGAAACTCTGACTTATGTCTCCAAGGTTAAAGATTTGGGGGTATTATTTGATGAAAGTTTGAGTTTTGTAGGTCACATTCACAATCTCACAGTGAGTTCGTCTAAACTATTGGGTTTTGTTTTAAGACACTGTAAAAACTTTTCACTTGAAACTGCTAGGAGTGTCTATTGTTCTTTGGTGCGTTCGAAGCTGGAATATGCTTCAGTAGTATGGTCACCATATCATGCAGTTCACAAAGCAACTATTGAACAGATTCAGCACAAATTTCTAAGACATTGTGCATTCAGATTAGGACTTGTGATTGTTGATCATGATTATGCTGCCATTGAAAATCAGCTGAAAGTGAAAACCCTTTCTAACCGGAGAAACTCTGCTGGAATGATTTTTGTTTGCAAGTTGGTCAATGGTATGATTGATTCTGCTGATCTCCTGCTATGCATAAATATAGACACACCGACTAGAAATAGAAGAGGCGATTTTGTGTCTTTTAACATTCCCTATCATCGTACTAACTATGGTCAAAACTCACCAATAGATAGATATTGTAAGTTAATTAATTATTATCACATAGAAATATTTGGTTTAACTTTGTCTCAATTTCGAAATCATTTGTATAGGATTACTTTTTAGTATGTAAATGAAACTCTGAAGTGATACATATTTTTAGATTTAATTCATAACAATCTAGAGTCATAACCATTTTTGTTGTATATTATAACTATTAATGGGGGTTACCCGTAAATAAATAAATAAATAAATTATAAAATCTATTATTCCCCAGGGAAGGAGCTTGTGGTTGCAGATGCTCTATCGCGGAACTTTTCTTCAAATGGTGAGGTGCTAACTCAGGATGTGTTGCAGTGGAAAACAGAGGTTCATGTTGGATTAATAATCCAGTCAGTTCAGATAAAATCCTCCTTTTTTGATGAAATTATAGCTGACAAGAAAAACACCCTATTACATCTCAAATTAAGAAATATACGGAGAAAGCCGGTGTGTGCCCGCGTCCGCATCACAAATGTCCCTCGATCGCAAATAATGTTTGCTAATTGTTCCATCAGATGTAGCCACACATTGAAATTAAAGATTTACCCCCCCCCCCCTCACCCCTTCCTCCTGCTCGCTTTTCTCTTCAACCACACAAATACATCTTCCACACAAGCCTTCAACCTGCGAACTAGCAATAATGGTTAAACATCCTTAGCCTAGATAGCTCAATGCATGCGTTATAAGATAAACAGCCCAATACTATCTAATTACTGGGCCAAAATGCACAATTACGATCCCAAGCAGCCTAATTTGCAAGAACTAATGCTGCACTGACGATAACTGGGTCTGTGACGAGTTCACGACCACTGATACGTTTATCAATGCTAGAAATGCTTGTACATTGAAAAAAATCTTCAAGAGTATAAAAGTCATGAAACGACGACAAATGGCCCAATCGGCTATTTATGTTGATATATTTGGAAGCCTCAATGGTCTGGCTGTAACATATTTTTTAATTACCTATCACAAAACTAGCACTACAAGCCAAACTCAATAATATTCAGGTGTTTTCTCCCATGCAAAATTTTTGTTTCTATCCTAGATGAATGTTAATTTATCGAAATTTGACTGGTACGGAATCAAAATCGGTAAGTCACCGTTCGGGTACCACCAATAATTCCAATGTTGCCACATTGAATTTGAATACGTAAGCGGCAGTAGTTGTCCCGCCGGTGCTATAACATAACATTTTCCTTTCACTTTGGCTCGAAAACCGCGAAGATATTGGGGAAGCCAGTGCTAAAAGTACCGCACACAAAAGTGGAGTATTAAAAGATACATTTGTTGGATTCTACTCGATATTCCCCGGGGTACTTTCCCTCTCTGCGGCCGCGGGGCCGAGGACAATAATAGTACCCATATACTTAGCGCAGAGTTGGCTTTGTGAGGCGCAGCAGCGCGCGCCCGATTGTTTTTTCCGTTGTTTTTCTTCTTCTTTTATTTTTCAATTATTTCTCTGGCTAACTAATCAAGGTGCGCGCTTTTCGGTTCGATTAGTCAGTTTCTACTCGGGATCGGACCTGGACGGCTTTGTGTGACGTCAGAGGTCGACGCCTGGAGGATAGGATTTAAATTTTTCTATTACTTGATTAAATTTTTTTCGCGAAAAATGGCGAGGATTTTTGGTTAAAAAGTGGTGCTTTTGGTGATTTAATTTTTTTTTTTTTTTGGGAGGATAATTTTCGATAATTTTTGGAGGAAATAATTTATGAGGTGAGTTATTAGTGAGACTTATAGAGTTCCGTCGATTAGCAAAAAACAATAAAGAAAGAAGTCACTGCTTATTTCCTCTAATTTATGTCATCTCCGGGGATGGAAAAAAAAAACAGCGAACGCATAACTGTTTCAAATTTATGTTAAATGTATTTTTTAGATAATGAATGTGGTTCACGACATTGTAGGTATGTAGTTTTTCTCTATACCTTCTTTGTTTTTTTTATAGCCCTGAAGATAGAAAAAATCGTCTATCGAAACGGATGCTTGCTGATTTAAACATTTCAATAAATGAATGCAAATCAGCTGTGCTCTCATCAGCTTCTTAAAAACCCCTTTATTATTTAGTTTGAATCAACTATACGGACTAAATAATAAAGTGATTGAAAAAAGCTGAGAACTCACGTGCCCTGCTTTATGAAAAACGTTTTGGATGACTTTTTCATCAACGGATCGCTGCGTAAAAATCCCTTTTTCGGACAAAAAATGCATTCAATTAAACTATGCCATCAAATAGACAGGGGAATTTTGTTTCTATGAAATAAATATGTACCATAAACAAAAATCTCAAAAAATATAGAATTGTTAGCCAACCTTTAAATTAAATCAATATTCCTAATTTATTTCCAGAGCAAAGGAAGTAGATACCTATCTCATCATAATAATAATTGTATCCATCCTTCTAGCATTTTTAATTATTATTTATTGATTAACGCAAAATGTAATGTGTGGCAATAAAATAGAAAACATTTAAAAATCCAGAAAATAATTAATTGTTGAGTGCAAACGGATAATTTGTGAATTATTACGAAGGCCACAGAAGTTTGCCTCGCTATTATTATTAACTTTCTCGACAGCTTCAAGTTAGTGCAATAACTGGAGCAAAACGACTCTGATTGAAGTGCCTGTATTAGGACACTCACAATAAACCTCTTGTAATGCAAATTTATTTGCTAAAAAAAGGTCAGTCAAAGATATGTGACCTAAAAAAATGTTTAGTACCTTATATAGTCAATAAAGCCACTGATTTTTATCATGCAAATGTATAGCAAAAATCAAGTTATTAGGCCACAGGCGTAGTGGTGCGCCTCGAAAAATTCTGACCCTTGTCCTCCATTTTAAGCATCTGGCATTATTTTATTTGATAAATTGTGGCTTTGATATGATAAAATTAAATCTGGACCATTGGCTTATTATTTCTCCAACCAAAATTTACCTCACCTTTTAGGTGATTTCAGCGACATGAACAGAAGTTTTGTTATATTATAGCCACCACTGTCTATGTAAATTGATGCAAGTTCAAATTAAAATATTATTTGAGTCATAAAACCCTCAGTTTTATATACAGTAGGTATTGCGCGAAAAGTCTGCATCATGTGGGATTTGGTTTGAATCTGTTTTCCTGATTAGGCTTTGCCAGATATAGATTAAAATTCTTGATGTATGACCAACACCTGTAAAACGTCATTTAAACATTTGATACAGTTCTGTCAAATTTTACTTGCTTTCTAATTTTAAATTTCAAAATTAAATTTGTACAAAAACTCTTACAGAGAAGAATAAACCAACAGGAGTACTGGTGACATTTTTGAGAAGTTTTAGGATACTCTCTCCGTTGAAAATAATTTCAAAGCACAACACGTAATTTTTTTTGTGAATCAATTTTCCAAAATCAGACCAGAAAAAAAATCCTAAGTTTTAGAAATTATTTTTCGAAATAGGTAAAAGTTTTTATACTTTCTAGAATTACCATGTACCTACTGTTAATAGGCATTTTTTGTCGAAGTATTTTGAAATTTTTGCGAGAAAATTTTCAAATTCCTGGATCAATTTCTTAAGATTTGTTTCAAATTGGTTTGTCCAGAAGTAAATTTCAAAAATTACCGTTGGCTGATTCAAAATATTGCACAAAAACTGAAAAAAAAATTGTAGGCTAAAAGTGTGATAAGAAACAAGATTGTGGCATTTACCGATTTTAAATAACATTTGACAGGTGGCAAGTCATAATAAAAAAAACTTAGGTGTTTTTTGCTGCTTAAATGCCCAATAAATAGGTATAATTTGGGCATTATCGCGTTGATGATGGCTGATCCCAAGCGAAAGAAAAAACCTGTTGTCTATTAAAATTCATAAAATCTGTGATGTTTATACATAAAGTTGCTATTTTGCCAATACAAGTTTTTTTTTTTGGCGATAGTAATTTTGGACAAATTATATAAATTGCGTTGCGTTAGATATATAGGTAAACAATTTCCTCACTTACGCAATGGGTCATGGGTTATGAAAAAATCAAATTATTGAATAATCCATTAAATTTGGCAACAGAACAAAAAGCCGGATTTACTTGAAATAATCGATTTATTGGTCTGTGACAACGAAAAAATATGATCAGTCAAGGCAAAGCTTTATTGAAAATTTTAATCCGTTATTGACTTGATGTAATACATAATTACTTCCTTCCACGCATTATTTTCGGGCGTAATTCTGCTCCCAATGATCATTTGGAAATATGTATTGGTAGTTCTTGGAACCCCCAAGCGGCTTTTACAACAGGAATAGGTTATGGTATTGTTTTGGCATGTTGTGTTTTACATTTGAAAGATGTAGAATAGTTGTCTCTATGCTTAAATAAATACCAATTGCACCTGTTTGGAACATAACATTTAGCAGTCCGTAGTTTGTACTAATAGTTCGCAAATTATTTTACTGTGTTTGAAACCGGCTGATTTTCAACGTGAGAGTTACCCATGCAATGCTTGAAATGCAACAAAGTGGAGGATAATCAAAAACTGACGACTTATTATGATAGCTGCAATAGAAGTGTTCATAAGCTCGTTTGCCCGGGGTTAAACTCTTCCGAAATTCGACTGGTCGAACTAGGTCAACAACGTACCTTTTAAAATTCCTCTAAAAGGCCCTGGACCAGCTCAGGAGTGAAACATGAGCATTGAAAGAGGACAAAACGCAGGATCCCCCTGCTAATAGGTCTGTTTCTGCAGAAATCAGAAACCAGTCAGAGCAAATTTCATTAGTTGACACTAGTTTTGTGACAACCAAAGAAATTTGCTCTGACTGGTTTGTGATTTCTGCAGAAACAGGCCTAATATAGGTTCTCGAAGTATCGCTAGATCTACCACTCTGAATAATGACTTCTTCTCCAGCAACGTTAAAATCGGTGTAATAACCTAATTATTTTCAATTTACCTGACTAACAGCCGGATCTTAACGATGTTGATACTTTGTTCAGTGATCTTGAAGCTACCAATGTTGAAGTTAGGAACGAACCTGGCGAGAATCGGTAAGCCTAACAAAAATGGCCACAAAACATTGGAATCAATTCTGCATAAATAGGAGGATGGGCAGAACGCCAGCACAAATTAAAGGGTACAAATATCTTCAATAATCCCGATTAAATTATTGAATATAATCCCATATTCAATCTATTAGTCTGGTTGAGCACAAACTCTCAAAACTAGTGACACATAAATTAATTATCCTGGAGCACTATATGGACTTTGAAATGCTAACTTTGCTCTATATGTCACCAATTGTATCGCGTCACAAAAAAAAAGAGATCTCCAAATGTTTTATATTATATTACATGGTCACATGGCAGAGCCGCAACTCCATAATTGCTCCACTAGCAAGAAATTCGTGTCCCTTCTAGAGCCACCAGATCTACAGATAGCTTCTACTTCCCAATTCACCGAACCAATTATGGCCTGAATACATTTTTTTAAAAATTTTCAGCTGTCATTATCTCGGAAACAGTTGAAAATAGGTGAAAATTTTATACACAAAAAATTCATAGTTTTTTCGGTAGAATCCAAATATGGAATCACATGCAAGGTGTTCCATTCAAAAAAACAAAGTTGGATAGGTAGAAATGTGGGAATAATTTATTGAACAGCTTTCATTGAGGTCACTCTTTCGTATACGAGGCAATTAAAAAGTTATAGGTATTATGCGCGACTTTTTTGCCACTCTCTATATAAACAACATAATAAATAGAAAAGTCTTACAGCCGTATGCAACATCCTCTTTTAACTTAAAATCACTTTTAAAAACTGGTCACTTTTAAAAATTTGTATTGCTTAGAATACAAATTTTTGAAAGTGACCATCAGTTTTAAAAAGTGCCTTTGAGTTAAAAGAGGATGTCGCATTAAAAAATAATTTCATAAAAGATTCGGTATAGAGTTAGAAAAAATACAAATGAAAAATAAAAGTTAAAATTATTATAAAAAGTAAATCCAATAAAATAAAGGCAGAAAGAAGGTATCTCTGTCTTTCAAATTTGAATCAGATGCTAAAAATATTAAAACATGATTGGAAATTTTGAGAAATCACAACGCAATACGTATTAACCGAGGAATACGAACAATAATTTAATTATTATTTATTATTTATATTATAAACCCATTCAGAATGTAAAAAATCGCCTCAGTTATATTATAAACAACCGTTATCGATAAATCCCTAATTCAATTATTATTACGTAATATAAATCGCAATTAGTTTTTTCTTTTAGTCTCTATATCTGGTATAGTTCCTTGTGCACGTCATACCATATAACGGTAGTGTCTTGTAGTAAAGTACATAGATAAAATTGTGCACGTTGAATGGGTGGAATATATGGAGTGAACCTTTTATGGCACTTAAGTACCTATTATGCAATAATTTAATATTAAATCTGTTCCGAAGCTAATAAACGATTTTTACTACATGTTCTGATTGGCCAAACATTGTTTTTGTTGTGTCGTGAATATCATCTATGTTGGAATGTTAAACAGTCAATAAAATTTTATTAATTCTCCTTATTTTTTCCAGTTATCGCCATGGCTTATTATAGGATTATTACATTTTTGGCTGCCACACTATTCCTTGGAAGCTCCTTAGCATTTGAGGTAAGAATTAAGAAAAAATATATAATCTATTTCTTATCGGTTAAGCCAAAGTGAAAGTTGAACCATTTTTTTTAATAGTAACAGTATCAGAATGTTACCTATACCCAAATACGCTATTTTACCTGTTGAAGTTTATTACTTTGTCAATGACAATTATTTATTATTGGTTGTGCATTTGCATATTATTTTCCTTGGTACAATGACATAACGGTTTTCATCGGATAATAGCGCCTGAAAAAAAAATAATTGCTTGAAGCTATGACTAATGGATTGCGTTTGGGTGAATAATTTATCAGAAAATGAATTGAGTCAAATGTGCCACCTTAGAAGCAGGATTAAATAATCAAGGAATTATTCTGCTGATAAACCGCTTCATCAGATGCTGCTCATGGAGGACTGTGGGGATAATCTTCTAGGTAAACCCCTTCATCAGTGGTTGCTCATGGGAGGTCGAGAAGAGAATGCTACCTAACCCAAATTTTCGTCGTTTGAGAATTTAAGGATAAATTCTCCAATCAGTAGCTTAATGGGATGCTAATAAAGTAACTCTAACGATCACAAGTCAGTTTTTCATGCGTTAAAAATCTCTCAATTTCAGGATGAGAGAGAAACATTATTATTTCCCAGGTAAACACCTTTATCAGTAATTGTAGGAGGCAGAGCAAATGCTAACCCAACAATCTACTTGACCTTCTAAAAATTCTAATGATAAAGAGTGTTCAGATAATATTTCTGTTTCGGCTCAGTTAAGCTGGCCCCCCCAGTTTCATTTTTTTGCTCAAAAAGCTAGCGCAGATAGAGGATATCTAGCGCACCACTTTTGAAAGCTAGCGCACCAACCCCCGCGGAAATAGCAGGGGATGCAATCGGGAGGCCAGATTACCGCTAGCCCCCCCCCAGTTAATATTTTTGTCTCGAAATGCTAGCGCAGAATAAGGACACCTAGCGCACAACTTTTAAGAGCTAGCGCACCAACCCCTGTGGTAATAGCAGGGGATGAGATCGTGGGGGGAGGCCAGATTAACGCTAGCCCCCCCCCCCCCCCCCCCCCCCAGTTAATTTTTCTTGCTCAAAATGCTAGCACAGAATAAGGACACCTAGCGTACCACTTTTTATAGCTAGCGTACGAACCCTCGCGATAGCATAATTATAAATTTAAAAAAAAAAAACGTGTAATCATACTAGAGAACTAAAAAGCGGATCATTTTGGAAATTTGGCAACCTGGGTAAACGACCATGATCTACACATTGAAAATATTTTTGACCATGCTGTGTTGCCGCTTCTACTCTAAGCCGGTGGCAACATCGCTATTTTCAATGGAAGACCCTGTATATTTTTAAATTTTCGAATTCGGTATATAATTATGACCAACTTTTCTCAATACTTCCCTATACCTTTCTGTCGCCGTTTTTCGGGAATAAATTAATTTCAATTTTTAATTAATTAATATCTCCCTCCTATAAAACAGTTTTGAGCTGTAATTTGGGTTATCCCTATAGGCATTTGATCCTTCGCTCACATCTTAGTTCAAGTATACCAGGATGGTCCGGAAAATCATTTTTGTCGGTAACTTACAAAAATGCCAGAAAAATTGTTTTTTTTTTAAATGGAACACCCTGTATACGGGTTTGAAAAGTTGATAAAACTAGCTTTCAGACTATGTATACTTTGCCTATTCCTAATTCTTCATGTTTCCGATTTCATTCATTAGAATTGTTCTGGCATAATCCAAATTTCAGCTCAAAATTGTTTTATAGGAGGGAGATATTAGGATTTATCGGAAGTCCTGTTTTCGTTAAAAAAAAAAATTGAAATTAATTACCTATTTATTCCTGAAAAGCGGCGACAGATAGGTATAGGGAAATATTAAGAAAAGTTGCTCATATATGCCGAATTCGAAAATTAAAATATACAGGGTGTTCCATTTAAAATAGCGATGTTGCTACTGGTTTAGAGTAGAAGCGGCAACACCGCCTGGTCAAAAATATTTTTAAAGATAGATCCATTATGGTCGTTTATCCTGGTTACCAAATTTTCAAAATGATCCGCTATTTAGTTCTCAATAAACGTCTAATACGCCATCCACCGTGGGACACCCATACATAGGGTACATTCAGGCGGTGCCAGCAGCTAAGTTCAGCCACTCAGCAGGGACTTTATTCTCGAAACAGGGGAACCGCCTAATGTACCCTTATATTATACCATACGTCCGCGATGATGGAGCATATCGATACAAATTTGTCATATCGATATGACAAAGGACCCTGCACATTTCTTATGGAAAATTGGTCTATGTGGAATTTTGCTGAACTTTTGATATTGTGTAGAGGGAGTTGTCCGTAACAATAGTTATTATTGCGCTAATGTTTAATACCGAACAGTTTTTAGGATACCAATTAAGAACTTTTCTTCAGTATGACGTCACCAGTATCCTCACAGCACCGAAAATTATTACTATCCTTGCTACTTTTGACTTTGACTTTGCTCTTTTCCTTTTAACATTAGGAAATAAAAAAAGATAGCGATTAGTGACAAATAAAGTAGGTGAACAGGTGTATTATTCTGGGCCTGGGTAAGCAACACCTAGCTCCTGCCGCAATTGTCAAATTCATGTGATGTCAGTCATATAGCGATTTCATTTGTACCTGTTGTTGTCTTGCTTGCTTTACGATCTGCTTTGGAGTTTTTAATTTATATCTTAAAAACTGTCCAGTATTAAACATTAGCGCAATGATAACTTTTGTTAAGGACGAGTCACTCTACACAATATCAAAAATTCAGCAAAATTCCACATAGATCACTATTCCATAAGAAATGTGCGTGGTCCTTTATATAATTTGTATGTCAGAATGTCATTTGTCATTTCATTACTGTCAATAGTTTCAATATTAGATGGGTTCGGCTTGCTCACTCCGTGCCCTCCGAGTGACTCCATTCGCACTCCAGCCGTTCGGGTATTGCTTTTTGGCGTATTAGGGGAAAACACAACCAATAAATCTTAATATCTCCCTCCTATAAAACAATTTTGAGCTGAAATTTGATTATGCTAGAACAATGCTAATGAATAAACGCTAATAAATCGAAAACATGATGAATTAGGTATAGGCAAAGTATACATAGTCTGAAAGCTAGTTTTATCACCTTTTCAAATCCCTATTATTATACAGGGTATTCCAATGAAAAAAACAATTTTTCTGGCATTTTTGTAAGTTACCGACAAAAATTAATTTCCAGACCATCCTGCATACTTGAACTAAGATGTGAGCGAATGCCTACAGGGATAACCCAAATTACAGCTCGAAACTCTTTTATAGGAGGGAGATATTAGAAATTGAAACTAATTTATTCCTGAAAAACGGCGAGAGATAGGTATAGGGAAGTATAAAGAAAAGTTGCTCATAATTATATAGGTACCGAATTCGAAAATTTGAAAATATACAGGGTCTTCCTTCGAAAATAGCGATGTTGCCACCGGCTTAGTGTTGGAGCGGCAACACAACATGGTCAAAAATGTAGATCATGGTCGTTTATCTAGGTTGGCAAATTACACGTTTTTTTTTAAATTTATAATAATGCTATCGCGAGGGTTCGTACGTTAGGTTTTAAAAGTGGTGCGCTAGCATGCTCTAGATATCCTCTATTTGCGCTAGCTTTTTGAGAAAAAAAATTAAACTGGTGGGGGGGCGGGGGGGGGGCAGCTTAACTGAGCCTTGTGTTTCTCCTCAGCAAACTTGAAAACTATTAAACATTGACAAATTTAGTGTTTATTGCAAACTGTAAGAAATCGAAAAAAAAAACTATACGTGTTATTATTTTGTTTTGCATATAAGTTTTGCATATACTGAGCATGTGTGACGTCATAGAGTACCTATGAAAAATAAGCACATTTCAAAGCGTTGTATCTCCATCAATTTTTGTCTATAACAAGAAAAAAAAACAGGTCTTATTTTTCATCGGCTAATGAAATCATCAATAAAAAAAATGAGTCAAGTTCCCCATTCCTCAGTTATTATCAGTGAGTCTAGAATGTTGATAGAAAGCGCTGAAAAAAATATTTTCAAAACTCCCTCTTTTTCTAATTACAATGGGCTCACAATGTAAAACTTCTACCTTGAATAAAGCTAAATTCATTCCCAGGAAGGATTTCTTTTCAGATTAAATGTTTTCGACTTTGAGTTTCTTTGGAAGTTGTGGAGATTTCTTGCTGACTTGTGGTTTTTCCTATTGTCTTGGCTTTTATTAGCATTCTCAATCGTTTTTATCTTTTCCTTGGTAATAATAATTAGAGAGAATAAAGGGGAGATACAGATTTTGCTGTTGCCGGTTACCCATGAAACAGAATTCAACAAAGACTGGCGAGACCAGCAACAAAATATTGGTTCAATAATAAATGCACCTACCGATACAATTTGATTATAGACAATTTTGTATGCAAGAATTATTATTGGGGGAAATAATTTATCTGAGATTCGAGGCAGGTGTGAATTTTTAAGGTTTCTGACCTTCGCAAGCGATTAGGAGAATCGCCGCTAATCGTGTGATTTATTTGTTTGCTTTCGGACTGGGTACTCAAGGCTATTGTGTCCAAATTTCCGTTTAAAAGGAATCAAGTTTTGACTTTACCAATTTACCGTTTACCTTAGCAATTAAATTGATAATTATATGCTTTCTAAGCTGAAAAAGTATTTGATTTTGAATCCAATATCGACCGGAAGCAAGTTATTGCTGGGCACGTGCAGTTAAGTATTGTCTGTCGTTTTTATTCTGACACTTTCCGTATGTTGAGCAGAGGAGCGAGGGGGTGAAGCATATATGGCAAAAACAGGTATGACATCAGATGACCATTGGCGTTCTAATGTAGGGTGCCAGCAGCTCACATTCCTATGGAGTATCGATTAAAATCGACGGACTTTACCTATCTGGGAATTACTTTTGCAGCAGCAAAGTGCCACGTCGCTGAAGTCAGCAACAGATTCAGAAATGAAAATCATGTTTTTAC